ATTACAAAGTAAAAGTGAAGATTGTAGACGAACCAATTAACCTGCATTATAATGAATAAAGCACAAACATGATATAAAAATCGTGATTAAGAAGATTCATGACAATCCCATAAAAAGCACAGTTACTGTTTGTAAAACGTACGGCTTCATGATAATAAACTGAGAAAAGTAAACGCTTTAACCACTGTACACAGAAATTTAACGTATTGAAAAGAACGGGTACATATAAATACATTCCATAAAAGATCTATTCAGATTCCTGCAAGTATCACGATAGTTTAACATCGTACAGTTATTCAATTGTTTGTTTGCTTTATGTTGAGGATTGAAAGGAATTAGATCATTTTGTATATTAAGTATTGCATAGAATTGGATGATTTTTTTTTATTGAGAGCCCCATGAAATTAGATTATATTTATATTGAGGACTGTATGGAACTAGATGATTTTTATATTAAAGACTGCATGAAATTAAATGATTTATATATTGAAGGATGCATAGAATCGTATGTACTGAGCATACTTAAGAACTATATAAAATTATATAAGTATTGAATATATCGAGGATTATGTTTAATAGTTTAATTTGGATATGTTGAGGAATACATGGCGTTTTCAAATATGTATATATATATATAGATAGATAGATACATCTGTTTATAATTGCACGGAATCTTGTATTAGTGTTCAACAGTGTTTTAAACGTAGTATGTATTGAGAACTGAATGGACTTGTATAAACGTTGAATGCATTGAAGGCTAGATGGAATCCATGTTTCCCACAGTTAATACTCCATGAGTGTGTATTGATGTTTTACATAATAAAGACTGCACATAATTAAAAAGTATCTAACATGGAATCTTAAGCATGTCGCAAGTATTGATGACTGCACACAGTCATACTATAGAGACACACGCTAAAGGTTGTATGTGGTTATGCCATTATCACATGTATTGATCACGGGTTACAGTCTAAATCAATCTTATAGATGTCTCCATTTCAAGGTAGAGATAGCTATAACAACACATGCTAAAGGTTGGATATGGTTATGTCATCACATGTATTAGAACATCTATAAGATTGATTTAGACTGTAACCCGTTCTCGCTTTTCAAGGTAGAGATAGCTATAACAACACATGCTAAAGGTTGGATATGGTTATGCCATTATCACATGTATTGAAAACGGGTTACAGTCTAAGTCAATCTTATAGATGTTCTGCTTTTCAAGGTAGAGATAGCTATAACAATATTATACGTATATGCAATAGAATATATATGAAGTTTAATTCACTTTAATCTACTTATGCTTTTAAAGTTCAACATGAAAAACCATACGCACAAGTTTAGAGTTTCGAATTGGTGAGAAGTTTTATGAGAAAAGTAAACCAAAAAAGAAAAAAGAGGAAAAGAAAGAAAGAAGACAAAGAAGCGGTGTTATTTATATTCTTTCGGTCTGTACTACATCTGAGACAAAGAAGGACTTTAGGTAGTTCCCAGCCTATTTTCCTCACATACGTGCCATGGCTACAGACAACAGATTACATTCCTTTTGAAGAAAACAGACTGAATTTCCAACCATCACCGGCACGTGAGGCGAATATATAGGGCATGCACTTTCAACCAATTATTTGATTGATTAATAGAATCCCGAGCTCGTCCGCTTTAAAGCACCTGGATCTCACAAGGATGTTCTAAGTTCTCATACGTTTCAAATGTACTGAAGCAGATCTTATCCTTTATCGCATATTTATTGATTAAAGCAGTATTCGTGCCAAACAGCACGTGCAAGAGCACGCGCCTACCATCAAAAGCCCGAATTCGCTCAGCGGGTGTGCTGAACGTGGTGGGATCTGGTATCACCACAGTTAGCAGGGCAGTTCATTGATTGGCTAGTTGAGCATAATGGTGCAGCAGACGTATCTTTTATCGTGGATCTATTTTCTTTTACTTCGAATTTCCGGCCCAGATAAAAAAAAAGAAGAAAAAATATATAAGAAGTAACAAAACATTGAATATCATAGCCGAAATTAGGCTAGAAATTAAAATAAAACACGAATAAGTTAAAAACCTTCGTTATTAATTTTTTTTTTATCCAAAGTCCTTATAATCGAAAATTACGAATGCCCTGATGCGTAATCTATACTTTACAGAATTCAAGTTTGTTCTTAGATTTTGACTCAAAAAATCTACTCGTATCTCTGGATAAAATATCTTCCTGTGATAGCGTATCATTAGTAAAAACGGTTAAGCGTACTTGGTACATTCTCCACTCGAGAAGCTCTTGTGAATAGAAATATTATAAGTTATGATACAGCAAAAACAGGTGTGTGTGTGTATAAATTCACATAAGCAAGTTGGGAGACTATACTATTAAAGGAAAGCAATTATTATTTAAAAATATATGTTCAAAATACAACTGGCTAATGACAATATTAAAGGGGATAACGAAATGAAATTCACTTCGCTATAATCGTGGAAATGTACTTTTAGCATCACTGGTGGAAATCGGGTCAGAAGGTTATCCGAAATAATGTCGTTTACACTTCGGGAAGACGAAGGAGGGGGGGGGGATCAAATTTGTTGTTTTTAACCCGCGTTAAACGATATCGATCTCACTTCAGTAAAACAAATTGTGATCAAGGTTGTTAATTTTAACCCATGTTAAATGATATGGATTTTACTTCAGTACGGTGAAAGGGGATCAAATTTATTTTCAACCCATGTTAAATGATATCGATTTTTACCTCAGTACGGTGAAAGGGGATCAAGTTTATTTTCAACCCATGTTAAATGATATCGATTTTTACCTCAGTACGGCGAAAGGGGATCAAGTTTATTTTCAACCCATGTTAAATGATATCGATTTTTACCTCAGTACGGTGAAAGGGGATCAAGTTTATTTTCAACCCATGTTAAATGATATCGATTTTTACCTCCGTACGGTGAAAGGGGATCAAGGTTGTCATTTCTAACCAGTCTACTTGTCAAGAGTTATTACTGTGGAAGACTAAGAACAGCTCCCCGGTGGCACAGCGGTATGTCGGCAGATTTACAACGCTAGAATCTGGGTTTCGATACCCGTGGAGGGCAGAGCACAGATAGCCCTTTTGTTGTAGCTTTGTGCTTAACTACAAACAAACAGACTAAGAACATAATATTTACTTATAAGTGACCGTATTTCATTCGAGAGCATCTCCTAGTTTTTTACAACTCTCACTCATGACAAACAGCTCACAATCGCACTCTTTGGGAAATTGCAAGATATTTTTATAATGGGAATAATGTTAAATAGTATTTTGTAATGAACTAACTAATATAAATACATTTTTCTATGTGTTCATCTAGGAAACTTGGCTATGCAGAACTTCCATGCATGTCATCTCATTTACTGTGAGTTGAGTTCACGGTTAACAATAATATTTATCATAGTAAAATTATTTACGGACAATAGTGGTATGTATATATATACATAAATATTATCTGAGCTGTTAAATTAATATCTATACCAAGAAGGAAGTTCTGCATTGCAAACAGCAAGATGAAGCCTACGATAAAATAAAACACATTTATAATACAAAACAAGAGTTTAAACAAAAATGCTGCACAACAAAACAAAGTCAGAGGCCATAATATGGAGTATAGATGTGTCCTGGTTTTTGGAGGTGAATGCTGAAGTAAGACCCACATAGCGGTGTGCATACACTGTCTATCAGTCTTAACGTCTGTTCACGAAGTCTCGCGTAAAGAAAGAAGTAATGAGAGAGTAAAATAAGACAAAAAATTATAATAGAGCAAAATACGGGTTCTCAAGCTCAGTAAATTCCCACATCGATATCACCCTTCACTGTCTGCAGATAGTTGGGGGAAGGGGACTGCTCTCAGAAGAAATTAAGTAAAGCTCTACCATTGGGTTGGTGAGTAAGAAAGCACGTTACCTCCTGATTTTGATAGTAAAAGCTCAAATTAATAAAATAATATTAGCACAGCAGAAATATATATAAGAATAAAATCCTTACCGAGTTATATAAACTAATATGACACCAATCCTCGACCCGAAAAGTCCACTGTAATTATTAATTTTTGAATATTATTCTACCTTTATATGATTTTGTGTTTTTATGCATAATGATTCTAAAACACACAAGAAAATAGTGTAAACAGTTTCTTGTTTTAAAAAAATAATATTTAAGTCTTACTTCTTGATATTTATATAATTTATTTTTGTATTTGCTACAAAATATTTTAATAAGTTTATTTAATGTTGTTGATCAAATCCATTAAGTGATATTTTTTGTATAATAACGAGAATACAGATAAAGCTCTGTGGCTAAAAAAATGTTTTTAGTCTGGTAGTAAAATCTAAAAACACCATGGCACTTGAGGTCCGCAAGAAATACAATGATCATTTAATTACTGAATAAAAAAAAATTGAATTACATTTTTCTTCAGCTTTGACTTGGTCACGTAAGACATAAGAAAATTTGTTTGTTGTTTCGAATTAAGCACAAAACTACACAATGGGCAATCTGTGCTCTGCCCACCACGGGTATCGAAAACACAAGAAGCATATCTTGCCGGAAAGTATTAAAGGGAGATAAGAAAAACCTCCTACCAACCACAGAAGACGTACAAGAAATCACGTACAGCTCTATTTTACATCTAAAATGTTTGCATTAAAAAATAAACCATGTCACTTATTCATTCCAAGTGGTTAGAATAGTAAAAATGTGAAAGTTTTTGATAACTACATCAAATAGTAACTTAAAAGGTCATTCAAGAAACTTCAGGATGTAACAACGCATGCTAAAAAAAAAATACAGTTCTTTAGATTTTGAAGAACTCGGGGATCTTCTGCACTCCGATAATTCTTAGCCCTTTGATGTTGCCATGGAGACACCCGCGTGCAACTCAGGAGAGCGTGATTGGTTAACAGAGAGTAGAACTGGGAGACTGGGAATTTTTGAGCGTTCCAGTGGTAGAAGCACGAGCGACGAGCGAATTGTTCTGTTCCAGCTAAAATTCTTGGAGATTCAACATTCATGAAATTGAAGACAACGTTTAGCATTTCGGAGATTCTTAACTTTAGACTAAAAACAAGAGCAACAACACGCATCGATTAGGGCCAGTCCCGAATGGCTTCGTGCTTATCTTACAGATTTAACTGTAAAATAAGATTTATTTTTAATTGATCAAATATAAAATTAGTTATCAGCGAAAGAAAAAAAAAAACATTTCAAAAAAGAACTTTAGACAGCACGAATCTTCAAGACTTTAATACTTGAAATGAAACCCAAAAATAGTCGAGACTGGCTCATTTCTTGACTTCCAACGTAGCTTCTGATATCAAGGTAAGTTATCTTGATAAAAGTTAAGTATTCAATTGAAAATATATTACTGGGCGATCAAAATTATGAGTTGATAATTCCAAATGTTCTCATTACTATTCAGATTCGTATTTTTAGAAATAAAGGTTTAACAGTGTTACATATTTCAGAGAATCATGCTGCAAAAAGAATAAAATATAAAAATATTGGGAACTTGAAAAACCAGTTGTCTGTACGACGCTTCCGCAGCTCATTTGGGTAAAAAGGAAACTCTCGTCCATTTTTACATATTGGATAAAAAAACAAACAAACAGACAATGGAATTCCATAACTAAAACGCTTCTCGAGGAAGGAAGTTCTATCTTCTGCATACACTTCCGTTAATCATTTGAAGTTTCACCGCCTTTTCTGAGTGTTTGAAAAATTAACAGACATTTAGTATTGAAAAAATGTGATTATGTAAGTCATGTTGTAAATTTTAGTTATGCGTTATTTTTCTTAGTGAGCCCCTCTAGTTTCATGGTTTCCGGACTTTGATATATATATGGTTATACTAAGTGTTTCTGGACTTATATGTATACATACATAAAACATTCGCCAAAAATCTCAGCACAAAGCCAATCTCACTTTGATGCTTTAATTTGTTTGTTTTGGAAATTCTGTCATAACAATACGAGGGCTATCTTCCCTAGCTGTCCCTAATTTTAATCTGATAGACTAGACTAAAGGGAAGGCGGACAGTTAATAGCACCCACCGCCAACTCTTGGGTTATTCTACCCAAATAGTGAAATTTGGCCGTCACTCTTATAAAGTATCCACGGCTCCACGGTGCGGAAAGCAATTTTGTGGCAACGAGACGTGAAACAAGCCCCCTCCAGTGACACAGCAGCATGTCTGCGGACTTACAACACTAGAAACCGGGAGTATTATCAAATAAAAACCTATTTTAAGTTTTGACCTGATAACTCAAAAAGGTTAAGTATGTAGGACACGTTATTTAATTTTGCTTCCAACATTGCACCTAAGTGTCTCAGGAGTAAGCTTGAGGACTTATGACTCTATACTTCAGGGTTTCGATCCCTTCGGAGGGTACGTACACACAGATTTAGCTTATTGTGCAGCTTTTTGCTTAAAAACAAACAAACATAGTTTTCATTCCTGTACTTTAGAATTTTCTGATGCTCTTTTCAAAGTTTATTTTTCTCTTTTATCGTTACATCTTTTTTTTTCTCTTGAAATGCAAGTAAAAGATCTCGTACCGAATAAATAAAGTGAGTATACAACACGAATTATGAATAGTTAAAAATTAGAATCTTCACCGATAATTGAGAGTACTTGTAATGTAGATGTGTTCTTCTGAAAATTCTCTTTGAACACTCGCATTATTTTAAAATTGCTTATCATTTTTTATTTTGCAAAATAAAACTCCCATCTTAAAATGTTAGATCAAATTGTAAGTTTAAACAAATTTACTGAAATAATACAATGTCAATTTTCATATATATTTTTTTATGTTAGAGTTAGTTTTCATCGTTGTTCTCAGCTTATCTGAGTTCCGGGCTTACATACGGCTCGTGCACATCAAAAGGATATGTTATTTAATAATAGATAGTAGTCAAACGGTGCAGCTCAGCTTAGATGGAGTCGGGCCACATTACTGGTTGCAGGTGTTTTAACTTGATCAGGTTCTCACGAGATGTTGCCTAGTAATTCAGGAGCCCCGTGACATGAATAATACACAAAGTGTGTAATTCGTGGTTTAGAATATTAATATATACTTTTCGTCTTCACCAATTTTAGTTTTCTTTCTATTTATACTATTTTTTTATTCCGCAACTAATTTCAGTTTTTTACCCTATTCTTCTGCTTTATTTCTGTGCTCAATATCCTCACCCTTCTTTTATATATGTACATCTACAGCGTGATAAACTCTGGAAATACAGAGGAATGGTTAAAGTCGTTGTAAAAGGAAAATAACCAAGTAGTCAACGTTTCTACGAAACTCTAACTATTTCATTTTTTCCACTTAAATCGATTTTAACCGTTCCTTTGCATTTTCCCTCTTTATCTTTTGCTCTTTACGTCTGGTTAGTGTGTTAAATTAATTTGTTTTATTTACTTTTATGGTATAGATAGAGGTTTTAACGTGGATTGTTCATGAACACTCATACTTTTCACAGTAATTTCATTAAGTATATAGAGAAACTTAGCTTGAAGTGACGAATGTTAACAAAAAATGTTTTTAAAATGATTTTGAATTAAATTTGCCAGTTTTCTCTTTTATTTGATTATAATTATTACACACAAAAGCGGTGTTTGCGTTTAAGCACAAACCTATATAATGGACTATCGGCGTTGTGTCTATCACGGGTATCGAATCCCAATTTTATAAAAAATTTAAAAAGTCTTAAATATACATAGCTGTCTCTAAGGGCTGCGTACTTCGTCCAATCAAATCCTGCTTCTTAGCTGTATATATTGTTTACTTCATTGATGAGACGCTTTCAGTGAAAGAATGCTATTTTAGCAATGGCTACTATAATGTATCATGAGAAAATTCTAAGCGTACAAACACAATTTATTCTAAAAATTAACGTTTAAGCAAACGTTCTTCGTCAGATCTGTAAGCAAACTGAAACAGAGTGTAAAACAAAAAGTACTAGAGTGTACACGTAGCAATGAATAAAACATGACAGTTTTAAAGGCGTTACAAAGAACAGTACAACTTATAGTTCTCAAATTAAATGGCCGAGATAAAAGCAAACAAAATTTGTGTATCAAAAATTTGGTTTCTTAATAAAACAGTATAGAAATAAAAATTCTAAAGCATGTAAAAGAGCTGTTGTTTGAGATACACATACAGCAATATATGTATATACACTTGTATGTGTTACGTGTATAAAGGGTGATTTAGAAATCTATTGACAGACAAATAATTCAGAAATAGAAAGGTATGAAGAAAGAATTATCAGAAGTACGAAATGAGGTGATGTGGGCCTACCCTGTGATAATATCATTGAAGCTATTCAAGGTTGTCTTCAAGGTCATGTGCTTCATAAATTTTATTGATATGCATTATATACCAAAAATGTCACTGTCAAAGGTGTAGATAATAACAAATTAAATATGTTATACCAAATTGTTCGTCAAAAGTACCAGTTATAAGCGTGAATGCGTCCATTGTTTTTATTGGAGATGTGCCACACAGATGATTCATATTCGACTATAGAAAAGACTGTTACGGAAATATAGTTTGAGATACTAGGTCATATTTCTTCACAAGCAGATCATTGCACTTTTGAGTGGTTCAAAACGTTAAAATTATTAAAATATAAACCCCCTTACCTGAACATATCGCACAAACTTTTTGCTTCAGCTTATCTCAGATCGTCTAAACACTAACACAATGTTCTGTTGTATAACAGTCAGGTTGTATAATGTACGATTATCAGATGAATGTCATCTTTCACACCAGATGATATGAAATATATGACAGCGGCTGAGTACTACAAGTTCATTTATACATACACGCCGTGCGGGTAGATCACGAACAGCAACGACAATAGAGCAGCTATATCGGCATTTGCCACATTTGGGTAGCACTTTGAATATAGCTATTGACTGTTTGCCACAATCTATCAAACTGTGATGATTTTTACCTCATAAGGGTTTATGCCTGTAACTGTTATTGTTATGAAGCGATTTTGTTAACTTTTAGTTTCAAATGTTTCATTTGTTATTGTCTGCCATTTGTGGTGTATGCTGAATATTACTTAAAGTTTTGAAAGACGTGACCTTGAAACTTCGGTGATACTGTCAGGGTAGAGCCACAAACCCTCAGTTGTTTTCCCATACCTCTCCATTTCTGAATTATTTGCCTGTCAATGGACATTTGAATCACCTATGGGTTTTTAGTCTTGACATGGCGATAATAACAGTAATACAGGATTAGAAGGGTGGAGAATAGAATACCATATTTCAGCTCTAAATACAACAAGGTCAAAATCAACAAGCCTGGCAATCGAAGACAGAAAAAGGAAACTGGGATACAAACTGAATTGTGGGAAGAGTAAAATGTACCTTAGTAAAAAAGAAAATTATCAACAGAATGCATCGTCTACTAGATGTATCTTTTATCCGTGCGGAAGAAAGAGAAATAAAAAAAACGTATATAGGTACTCAAGCCCATAACGTCTCTGATTTAAAACTACCATTCACCGTTTGCAACGATTTGGAGGAAGGTAGGTGCTCTTAATGAAAAAGAGGTTATTGCACCGCACTTTCTGGGTGCAAGGAAACAGCAGGGATTAGTTAAATATTTCTATCCACAAATGAAAGTACACTCAATTTCCAAAACAACCTTTTGAATTCGCAAGATAGTTCGACAAAACCTATGGAAAAACCAAGACAACCGTATGTTTCACAACTGTACGTTTAATTGTAAAAAATAAAAAAAGAGAACCTTCTGCCTACTTCTCTAGGTTCGTGGATCTTCTACCAATATACTTGTTATGACAAGTTCTTACGCTAAGTAAAAATACTCGCTTGCCTGAGAACATGTGAGTGTCTCAAATAGAACTGGCCGGAAACTCTTAAATACATGCGCTTCTTGTATCCTCATATAATGAAAATACCAACCACTGTATTTCTCCTCATATAATGAAAACACCAACCGCTGTATTTCTCCTCATATAATGAAAACACCAACCACTGTATTTCTCCTCATATAATGAAAAAACGGTTGGTGTTTTCATTATATGAGGAGAAATACAGCGGTTGGTATTTTCATTATATGAGAAGAAATACAGCGGTTGGTGTTTTCATTATATGAGGAGAAATACAGCGGTTGGGCTGTATTTGTCGTCATATAATGAAAATACCAACCACGTATTTCTCCTCATATAATGAAAACACCAACCGCTGTATTTGTCGTCATATAATGAAAACACCAACCGCTGTATTTCTCCTCATATAATGAAAACACCAACCAGATCATAACCTTTCATCCAGGAATTACTCAACA